CCCCCCCGCCGAGGATCCAACATTAACTAGGCCATTCGTGGGGAGCTCCGGCGATCGGCGCCCCCTCCCGGGCCGCGGGCACAACCGCGGAGATCGCACCGACCGGCCTCCCGCTGCCTTTTTTTTCGGGCACCAGCCCCGGCGTCGTGGCCGGGCGCGACCCAACGCAACCCCGGGCACCTCGCCAGCCCCCTCACCACCTCGTCGCCTCCTCCGCCTCCGCCGCCGCCCCTCGCCGCCGTTGAAGGAGCCGAAGCGCGCGCATTCGCCCCCCCCCCCCTCTCCCCACACACACACACACACACACACGGACGCACGCGCACGCACGCGCACATAGCATGGCCCCGCCCGGCATGACCCCCGACGGCCGCGCTGGCCCGGGGAATGATGGCCCGCGGCTTTCCGGCGCGGACTTCCTGGCGTCCATCCGCACCAACGGCGTGCTCGACCAGCTGGTGGCCGCGGCCACCGAGGAGCTCACGGCCTCGGTACGAGAGCCGCCCGCGCTCGCGCGCCCCGGCTGCATGCATGTCGCGCCCGCCCCCGCGGCCCCAGTCTAACCCGCCTCCCCTGCCCCGATGCCCTCCCCTCGTCGGCCCGCCCCCCCCCTCACCCAGGGGACCCTCGCCAACATGGACCAGACCATCCACCGGAGCATGGTGGAGTACGCCGCCGGGCATGACCACTCGAGGGCCGGGCCCATGCGCGTCGGCGACCTGGTCAAGCATGTCCAGGCCCAGTGCGTGCTCCGGTTTCCTCGATGCGCCCCCTCCCCCGATGCGCCCACGCCTGACCTTTCCCCCCGCCCTCGCCCTCGCCCTCTGGCTGTCCCTCCCCGGCCCCCTGCCCCTTTTCTCCCCTCCCCGGCTTGCAGCAATCCCGATCTGCGCGATCTGCCCAAACGCATCGCCGACATGGTCCGCGACAATCCCCGGCTCATGGCCATGATCAGTGCGGAGCTCGAGCGCCTGGCAGCCGCGGGCGGCTCCTAGAAGCAGCTCCCACCCAGCGGCTCGCCCCGCCCCGCGGAATAATATAGACACACGCAACATGCATGCGCCCGCTTTTCGTTGTTTTTTTCCGTCCAGCGCGCCGCGGGAAATGTTCCCCGCACACGCACGCGCCCGGAGCGGACGACGGCCCGGGGACGCCCCCGCCGGGCATGCTCCTCCCAACTCTCGGGCCTGGGTGCTCCCTGGCCGCGCGCGCGCGCACACACACCCGGTCGCCGCAGGGGGGGGGGGGGGGGGGAACGGATGGAGAGCGAGAGCGAGAGTGTGTGTG